AATTTTTTTTTGGTTTTATTTTTGTGTTATTTTATTTTTTTTTACTCTGGTTTTTTTCCATGGCTAACAGAACTTTTCACAATTTTAAAACTGATCGTTATAGCTATCATACATTACAAGAGATTCAAAACAACACATATTTGGTTCTAAATTTCACCAAACAACATGCCCTAACAAGTAAAGCAGATAAAGTGAACCTCTTTTTTTAATAAAACTGCATTGACTTTCAAATATCCAGAAAACATATTTATATATTTATATTATTTCATATAATATGTACTCACTCTGCCTTCTGGATTTTTATCAGGATGGTATTTCTGGGCCAGCCGGAAATACGCCTTCCTAACCTTACTCTCCTCATGTCTGAAATATATACATGTTGCTTGCTTCAAAGTTAAACACATTATTTAAACAAATAACAAGAGCTGTCAGTAAGACAGCATGCCCACTTGATAGTAAAACAAGAGCATGAATAATGTAGAATTTTGTAAGCTCAAAATCTATGTCAGAGTTATGGGCCTTGAATAGTGACCTATTATAAGGCTTTCAAATAAGTGTGTGAAGTTCCAATCCATTCCTTTCAAGAGTTTTGGAAATAACAACTTGTATGCAAAGCATAATGGCAATGCCAGGGTGAGTACGAAAGCTCTCCCTATCTTTCAAATAGTCAAGCTAAAAAGTAGTCAAAACAAAGGAAACAAGACAACAGTATATACATACCCTCCTTCACCTGTTTTTAGATTGAGCACCTGATAGGCTTCTTCTAAAGACATTGAAGATGGCTTTTTCTCCACTTCCTTCTTCCAAGCTTCTAAAATATCTTTCAACAATTTAACCTGTAATATCGAACAATGATATTGGTGATTTAGTTGTTTTATTTTAGTGATATATGCTTCAATGCTTGAGTTTATTGCTAAATGCTTGTCAGTATTTCAGTTAAACTAGGTTGGTGATTATCTATTTTTCTTGAAGAAAATGAATGGCAGTAAAACAAGATCTGTCAGTTGGTAAGCACATTTGATTATTCTCAGTGCTTGGTAGTACAAAAGCCTGAATAATGTAGTCATTAACAAAATTCAAACAAATAAATGACATAGTTGGATACTGACCAATTCAATTACACTCAATCAATTAAATATACATTATTACCGAATTAAATATACATTATTACCAAAGCAAGATTGCCCTTTGTAAGGCAGAAACCAATCAATTCAACCTCCCAAGAGCAATTCCTTTTTTGCAACAGCGAAAATACCTGCCTCCATAACTCTGCAGAGATTAAACTGTACTAAATATCTCCACATAGCAACACCCTTTACGAGACAAGAATTTTACAGAGTTAAAGAGAGACTCCAGAGCAAAGTCCTACTTTGGAAAGAATTGATATTGTTTTTGTAAAGAAGTTATTGCTCTACAGAGGGACACTTTACTAATATTGCACTGTAGTCAAATAAATTAAAGCAGTAGCATCACTTACCGGATCTTTGATGGGCCAGTCGGGGAATTTTGTTGTATCACAGAGATGCTTTAGATAATATATATTACAGAATAGCTCATTCTCTAGTTGTGGATAGTTTATCACAGGTATAGGACAGTACTGGTACAGAGCTCGTGTGTTACTCATCAACCGAGGACTAAAATCTACCAGATGTGAGGCAATCTTCTCTATCATTAATCGCCTGCAAAAATGTTAAAATGTTCTAATTTAGTACAAAAAAAATCAAGAAATCTGTGGCAAAAAGTATTGAATTATATACCATGTAAAATAAAACTTACAACATTATAAAGGTAAAATGTACAAAGAATATATTTCAAGGAGTGTAATTTAGATTATACTGTAGTAAATAAATTATATGAAATAATCAATTTTTTCTTTAAGTTGTCTTTTGAAATAGAGCTTTGAATGCGGTTTTGTGCAGTATTTCAAACAGATTTTTTAGTTTGAAAAGTGCAAGACATCAGAAAGAAATGGTCAAACCCCAGGTGGGTGTGTAGACATGACACTAGACTTCAGAGATATAAGGGAATCTAGGAAAAAGTCCCTAGCTCTTATTGAATAGACCCCTTGGTTCTTTTACATGCTCAGTGTATAGCACTGATACATGCAAGGACCACTTGGATTTCTAACCAGTACACCTGTGTACCAGTGTCTCTGAAAAATCCCAAGGGTGTTACCCAGGATCAACTCAGGAGTGACAGTCAGTTGTCTAACCAACTGAGCTATAGCGCAACCTGCATATTACCCTGAAAGATTTTTATTTTTCTTTTTCCTTATTTAAATATAAAGAAACATTGAGGATTAAAATAGGTAGATAAACTAGAACTATCACTAAATGTGATTAATACCCCCACAAGTCTGCTTCGGAAATGAGGATGTTACTAGTAACAGAATACCTTGTAAAAGAATTGAAACATAGAGTTATGGTTGTGGGCAATTAAAGATAATTGTTGTTCATATATGTTGCATTTCCTTTGAATGTGGTTGGCCATTGATGAAGTTTAAATTGAATTAACTCTGTAATAAGTCCAGAAAAGACAAAGAAAAAAGAACAAAGGGCAATAAGTCTATAAATACTGAAGATAGAGTTATAGTTCTTGTGCACTGCACTTCCTCTTTATTGTGCTTGACCATTGTATGAAGTTGTTTTGAATTCCACCAGTACGTTTTAAGTTATGCTCCGGAAAAGGAAAAGTATCAAAGGGCAGTAACTCTGTATTTTGTCAAAATGGAGTTATGGCTCTTGTGCACTGCACTTCCTTTTAATGTCCTTGACAACTGTATGAAGTTGTACTGAATTCCAAACAGTAGTTTTCTAGTAATGCTCTGGACAAGGAAAAAGTAACAAAAGGGCAATAACTCTGTAATTAGTCAAGATGGAGTTAATGGTTCTTGTGCACTGCAGCTTCCCCTTATTGTGCTTGACCATTGTATGAAGTTGTTTTGAATTCCAACCAGTAGTTTTCAAGTCATGCTGTGGACAAGGAAAGTAACAAAAGGGCAGTTAACTCTGTTTAATAAGTCAAGATGGAGTTATGGTTCATATGCACAGCAACTTCCTCTCAATGTGCTTGACCATTGTATGAAGTTATATATGAATTCCAACAATAAGTCTTCAAGTTATGGTCCGGACAAAATGAAAGCAATGGAAAAGAAACAAAGGGCAAATAACTCTGTTTAATTAGTCAAGATGGAGTTATGGTTCTTGTGCACTGCAACTTCCTTTATTGTGCTTGGACCATGTATGGAAGTTGTTTTGAATTCCAACTCAGTAGTTTTAAAGTTATGCTCATGGACAAGGAAAAGAAACAAAGGGCAGTAACTCTGTAATAAATCAAGATGGAGTTATGGTTTCTTGTGCACTGCACTTCCTCTCAATGTGCTGGACCATTGTATGAAGTTATAATGAATTCCAACAATTAGTCTTGAAGTTATGGTCCGGACAAAAAGAAAGCAATGGAAAAGTAATAAAGGGCAATAACTCTGTAATTACTTTAGAAAGAGTTATGGTTCTTATGCACTGCACTTTCCTCTCAATGTGCTTGACCATTGTATGTAGTTATATTGAATTCCAACCATTAGTCTTCAAGTTATGGTCCGGACAAAAAAAGAAGGCAATGGAAAAGCAACACAAAGGGCAATAACTCTGTAATTACTTTGGATATGAGTTATGGTTCTTTGTGCACACTGCACTTCCCCTTATTGTGTTTGACAATTGTATGAAGTTGTTTTGAATTCCAACCAGTAGTTTTCAAGTTATGCCACGGACAAGGAAAAGTAACAAAGGGCAATAAACTCTATAATTAGTCAAGATAGAGTTATGTTTCTTACGCACTGCACTTCCTCTCAATGTGCTTGACCATTGTATGTAGTTATATTGAATTCCAACAATTAGTCTTCAAGTTATGCTCCGGACAAGGAAAATGCAACGGACAAAAAAAAAGCAATGGAAAAGCAACAAAGGGCAATAACTCTGTCATTACTTTAGATAGAGTTATGGTTCTTGTGCACTGCACTTCCCCTTATTGTGTTTGACAATTGTATGAAGTTGTTTTGAATTCCAACCAGTAGTTTTCAAGTTATGCCCCGGACAAGGAAAAGTAACAAAGGGCAATAACTCTGTAATTAGTCAAGATAGAGTTATGGTTCTTGTGCACTGCACTTCCTCTCAATGTGCTTGACCATTGTATGTAGTTATATTGAATTCCAACTATTAGTTTTCAAGTTATGCTCCGGACAAGGAAAATGCAACGGACGTCTGGACCGACCGACCGACCGACCACCGAGTGACTCCTATATACCCCCCCAAACTTCGTTTTTGGGGGTATAATTATAATCTTGCCTCATTTCTGCATTCCATATTGCCTCTGGAGTGTCAAACTCTCCGAGGAAAATCTGAGCAAATTTTTCAGGAGAGTAGTTCTCCAGGTAACACACCATGGCCTCTGGTAATATGTGACCTAGTACACTCCGAGACATCAGGTCCGAGGTCTGATTCTGTAATATAAATAATTTATATCTTTGTGTCTTTTCATAAATATGAAATAGTTTGTCAGCTTTTTTTGCATTTCTTTGTTAACATTTAATGTCACTATTGACATTTTTTTTTATAAATACATGTACTCTGAATCATACTTTACAATAAAATGTTTCAATTTCCACACACAAACATTATAAAGTTTATCAATACAAAAGCTTAAATTTAATAAACATATATGTCTGAGAGTTGCAGCATGGTTGATTGGTTAATGACTTAGACTAGTATTCTGGGCAATGCTGTTTTGTTGGTTTAAATCCAGTCATGGGCAAGTGCTTTTAGCTTCAAATACAATCTAACTAAAATAAATTCTGTTTAAACAACCAAATATGTCTAACATTCATGAGAAAGATCAAAATGCACCTACCAAGTTCCCATTAACTTATCAAACTCTTTTTTAAAATTATCTGTGACAGAAATTGGTGGCTTATACAAATTAACATACAATAAACCTTATTAAAGATGTTCAAGAAACCCATATTAACCAAGAATGTGCTTGACCTTTGCAGCATACACATCCATTCTGTCTCACAAGGTTTAATACTGTTGGCTGACTAACATTTAATTTTCATCTCATTATCCCCCAAAAAAATTTCAAGACATTTTTACAGACAGATGCAGACTTTTTCAAATTCCTGTATTTTCTCCCAGTTTCCTTTGTTCTCGTAAACAGGTCCAAAATTGAAAGAGGGAAAAATTCAGCAGATTAAGGAATAATGCCAGTGGTCTTACCTCATCTGACCTGAAGGCTTGTTTCACATGTGTATACTTGAGGAATCTTGCAATGGGCAGCACATTAGAGCCTGTATACATCATAATGAAGAAGAACACTCCATTCAAGTATAGCCGAGACACATTTGGATTGTCAGCCATGATTTCATGTAATAAATATGCAACTTTTTCTACCAGAATGGGATCAAATGTCAGCAACAACTGTAAAATATTAGTGATGCAGAAAATAATAACAACCACAAAATTTGTGAAAAGACATAGGTTTTATGATTAAAACTGTTTAATTAATAAAACTGTAAATCTTTTCATTCCTTATTAATCATGTGAGTTTTTGACACGCTTATGTTGTTTAGTTGAATCCTTTGGTATGCTTAATAATTAATATAAATTAGTATTTACGATAAGTAATATTAAGACACTTAATGTGCAAGATTTCCACAAGTTGTCAGTAAATTTGATAACAAGAAAACTATACAAAGATGTATGCCTTAAAACTTACTAGCATTTTTTAAATGAAAAATGAAAACTTACAAAACCACCTATGTTTTTCTTTTCTATATTATGGTCATATAGTATCAAACAGCACATGGAATTTATGCAATAGAAATACAATTTATACTACAGTCAAACCTGTGATCAAAGGTCATCCAATGAACAATTGACCTTTATAGACATGTGGTCTTTATTTGGGGGTTACCCTTTTCTTTCAATCAATGAAGGGTTGGCAAAGAGTAGCGATTATTGGCTGGGTGATCTTTATTCAGATGTGCTCTTTAACACAGTTTGACTGTATAATGGAACTACAAATACCTGTACAATATGCGGAAGACACATGGCATCAGAGAGGTTTCTTTTTATTCTTGGAAGTGGTCTTACTATAGCACCATCTACGTCTCTGTTAAAAAATATATATTTGCACTCCCTATCATCTTTTAAACTCATAGGTATTTATATTTCTCCAATTGTATAGATAAAAGCCAAACAGACAAAATCTCAAAATATTTCATTTTACTGTGTAAAAGAATAAGTCTCATACAAGATATAGGAAGGGTTGTGCACAAGTGACCTTGGTGTTTTCCTCTTAACCCAAGGATAGTGGGTCTGAATCCTACTCAGGTCACAACAAGGATTCCGCAAATGACACCAGTACATGTGGTCAGTTGCAAAAAGCAGACTTGAAAGTGATTAATTGAACTTGCCAGAATTTCACTTTATGATTAAGCTAAAATAAATATGTTAAAGTGGATTGGTCTTCAATAAAGCATTCAAAAATTGCAAATATTGGTAAAAACATTATGTATCTAACACTTGCCAACAACATCTATATATCATTCTTTCCTTGTTTTTTGTCAACTATGATACTAAATACTATCAACATATTAAAGATTAATTCATTTTAAACTATCAATATAAGGTATATTCATTTAAAACAAACATTTTTTTCTAAAAATTTTCTTTTTAAATTTATAACAGACTTACCTACTGGGATAGTATTCACACATTTTAATGAACATATTAAGTATGAGACAGCCTAAGTCACTTTCGTTCATAACCGCCTGACCGGTGGCTAACAAGGTCCACTTTAACTGAGGAACAGATTGTAGGGGGCGCCATCCGTCCATTCCTTGAGCCCAGCAGCGAGTTTTGGCATGAACAGTTCCTTCATCATAAAACCTTTTCAGCTGGAAACGATGTCAAAATCAAGACTTTTATATAAATGCATTTATTATTCCACAATTTTCTAAAAAGCTTATTGAAAATAGTGAGAAATAACCTCAATACAAGATTAATTTAAATGCTGAATAATGTTATTTATAAACACTCAATAACAATTATCCAATGTTATTGCACAGAATCCATGGGATGTAATAATAGTAACAGCACATGGATTCAGACAGTCAAAATGTCAGTTGTAGACCATAAGAGTATGATACTGTTTAAATTCAAAGTCTTTAAGGTTTAGAGTCCCTTCAAAAATTCTGATTATAATCAAGCAATAATAACTCCACTTCATAAAAGTACAGAGCCAGGCCTGCCTGGACTGATCTTAAATCTGCTAAATTTAACAACATATATTCATGGGCTATAGTTCAAGCAAAATGTCAAAGGTCGTTATCAAATAAACCTCATCATAACTGTAGGGTCCGAGGCGTTCTTTGTCCCTATTTCCGTAGTACCATTCCTTCTCACTTTCTCGTTTCATATCTGCCCCTGCTTCTATCACATTGGTCTGTAGCGGAACCGTTGCCCTGGTGATATGTAAATGAGCTAGGGTCAAAAGGTCAACTAAAGTTTTGATTCCATTGGCATCCATGATTTCTTTGACATTTCTCTGTAAATACATGAAGTAAGTTTAAGTTCTGAAGTAAGAACAGTGAAGACATTAATTTACTGATAACCAGATAGTGAAGGGGACAACTCTGTATTTATTTTATCTGATATAAATTGTTGAATTTGATGTAAGTAGCACAATGAGACAATTGTTTTATGAATTCTACCTTATAACTTTTCTTTCAATTACAGAAATACTGCTTTCAAGCTGTGTTGAGATAAGAAAAGAAACTTCCTTCTGCAGTATAACTGTAAAGTTGCCACGGTTGTACTAGAAAAGTTTCACAAATCAGGCCAATAATCCAACATCATTTAAGCAGCATTACATTGCAAGAGATTTGAAGTCAGTGGAATATAAATTACTTGCTCATCTACCTCGACCTTTTATTTTCTATCATAGGAAAAGTAATTTCACCACAATGTTATGCACTTTCATGTTAGTAATATTTTTCTTTTATTTTTTGGTTGGGTTTAAAGTTGCACCAACACAGTAGAGGTCATATGGCAACTATCCAGCTTTACTGGTAGAGGAAGAACCTAAATGTTAGTAATAAATTACTTACAGGATGAAGGATGAGTTTATTTAGAAACATCACAAGTCGATCTCTTTCCAATCTATCTGTACACTGAAAAAATAACAAAAATTTAAACTGATAGTCAACTGTTCGCAGTCATCTTATGATCTTAACAATGTATATGCCAAACAAATCTTTCCATTTTAATCAAGTGCTTACAGAGATTGCTCTACTACATGTATTTTCAGTCCTTGGTTTTATTTTATATTCTATTAAAATTTTACTCTTTTTTTTGTTGTTTGCAGACGTACATTAAACTTGTCCAAAACATGTTATAAAGCTTGCAACATTCTCACTGAATTTAATATGAAACAGGAACTAACTCTGATTCAAGATCCCAATTATTTTTAATGGCATTCATTTTTTGGAACAATCATTTTTTCCCAGCATTTTCATGTTTAGAGGTGATCTTTTAAATATTTAAAAAAAAATCAAGAAATAACAATATCGTATGATACTTACCCTTTCTAACATGCCTACTATATATCTAGTATCATTAAAAGCACCAATTTCATCGTGACACCTTCCATATACAATCGTCATAGCTTGTAGACACATACACTTCATGTTGATCTTTGGGGTCAATAAAAATCGGTGGTACAGATCATTGAAAAACTCATATCTGGTAAAAAAGAAACAAGACATATTTCTGTCAGGAAATATACAAACATGGTATTTGAGGAATAATTTCTTTTTCAAAATTCTAAGAACAGTCTTGTTAGGCATCACGTATATTGCTTAATACACATCACTCTTAATTCTAAAAAATTCAAATAAGCTAAAATTGACAAAGTAGAGCTTAGTTTGACAGCATAAAAGATTAAAGTTTGTCTTGTAATATACAGATGACATAGATAATACATTTTTTTATCACACATTGTAAAAAGTTTAAAAGTGCATGAAATATATCAGACCTCTCTTTCAATAAGAGCACCCCTGCAATGTTAACACTCATCTGTTGAGGGCAATTATCAATTTTGCCAAAATTTCTCAATTAAAAAGGGGCAAAACACTTAATATATTGCTTTCAAAATTATGCCCCTTTGTTAACTACTGCACCTTATTATGATAAGCAAGTTATCTAAGTTTCTGCTTTCAAAATTATGCCCCTTTGTTAACTACTGCACCTTATTATGATAAGCAAGTATTCTAAGTTTCATGTTGATAACTTTTAAAATGTTTGAATGATGGGCTACATTAAAGATTTTGCACCAAGAAAACAACAATGCAGCCATCATAATAGATCCACTTTTCCTTCTAAACAGACAAATTAAAAAGGATCTGTCTCAAACTTTGAGCAATATACATGTATACTTACGATCGTTTTATTGCACTAACTTCCTCTGACTCGTTGTCATCTTCTTCTAACAGCAGACGTAAGTAATAATCACCTAATAAATGATTAAAGAAATTTTTTTTCTCAAAATCATGCAAACATAAATACATGACTGTTTTTTTTTCTGGGTAAAAGAAAAGAAAATCAGTTAAATAGAGTAAATTTAATAATTTTATTCAAAATGCAGATGTAACTAGAACTGCCACTGTCATGGCGTGAATACCCCGCATACCACTTTGTCAGAATCAACAGTGGCCATTTAGAGCTCAAGGACTATGTCCCTGCCAAATCTGAGCCAGTGCATTCTAAGTTATGTATTCTACATACTTCAAATGTGAAAATGTCAAAATCAATACCCTGTGGACAGGCATTCTTAAGCAATTGAGGGAAATTTTTTTTGTTGACCTTTGACCCAGTACCCTCAAAATCAAAAGGGGTAATCATGACTAACCTCCATGTCAAATATGAAGACTGTGGGTCAAAGGAATCTTAAGTAATAGGACAGACAAGCTTTTTATAGTCAAGGCCCCTGAGACCTTGACCTTTGACCCAGTGTCCAAAAAAATCAATAGGGGTCATCTACTAATCATGACTAACCTCCATGCCAAATATGAAGACTGTGTGTCAAAGGTTTCTTAATTTATTGGGCTGACAAACTTTTTAAAGTCAAAGTCTCTGTGACCTTGACCTTTGAGTCAAAGGAATCTTAAGTTATTGGGCGGACAAGCTTTTTGAAGTCAAGGCCCCATGTGACCTTGACCTTTGACCTGGTGACCTCAAAATCAATAGGAGTCATGTACTCGTCATGAATAACCTCCATGCCAAATATGAAGACTGTGGGTCAAAGGAATCTTAAGTTATAGGGCAGACAAGCTTTTTGAAGTCAAGGTCCCTGTGACCTTAACCTTTGACCTGGTGACCTCAAAATCAATAGGGGTCATCTACTCACCATGACTAACCTCCAAGCCAAATATGAAGACTGTGGGTCAAAGGAATCTAAAGTAATTGGGCGGACAAGCTTTTTGAAGTCAAGGCCCCTGTGACCTTGACCTTTGACCTGGTGACCTCAATATCAATAGGGGTTATCTACTTTTCATGAATAACCTCCATGCCAAATATGAAGACTGTGGGTCAAAGGAATCTTAAGTTATAGGGCAGACAAGCTTTTTGAAGTCAAGGTCCCTGTGACACAGGGACCTTAACCTTTGACCTGGTGACCTCAAAATCAAAAGGGGTCATCTACTTGTCATGACTAACCTGCATGCCAAATATGAAGACTGTGGGTCAAAGGAATCTTAAGTTATTGGGCGGACAAGCTTTTTGAAGTCAAGGCCCCTGTAACCTTGACCTTTGATCTGGTGACCTCAAAATCAATAGGGGTCATCTACTCGACATGACTAACCTGCATGCCAAATATGAAGACTGTGGGTCAAAGGAATCTTAAGTTATTGGGCGGACAAGCTTTTTGAAGTCAAGGCCCCTGTGAACTTTACCTTTGACCTGGTGACTTCAAAATCAATATGGGTCATCTTCTAATCATGACTACCTCCATGCTAACTATAAAGACTGTGGGTCAAAGGAATCTTAAGTTATTGGGCGGACAAGTTTTTTTTTCAGTCAAGGCCCCTGTGACCTTTACCTTTGACTTGATGACCTAAAATCAATAGAAGTCATTTACTAAACATGACTAACCTCCAAGCCAAATATGAAGACTGTGGGTCAAAAGGATCTTAAGTTATTGGGCGAACAAGCTTTTTGAAGTCAAGGCCCCTGTGACCTTGACCTTTGACTTGGTGACCTCAAAATCAATAGGGGTCATCTACTCAACATGACTAACCTGCATGCCAAATATGAAGACTGTGGGTCAAAGGAATCTTAAGTTATTGGGCGGACAAGCTTTTTGTAATAAAGGCCTCTATGACCTTGACCTTTGACCTGGTGACCTCAAAATCAATAGGGGTCATCTACACGTCATGACTAACCTGCATGCCAAATATGAAGACTGTTGGTCAAAGGAATCTTAAGTTATTGGGCGGACAAGCTTTTTGAAGTCAAGGCCCCTGTGACCTTGACCTTTGACCTGGTGACCTCAAAATCAATAGGGGTCATCTACTCATCATGACTAACCTGCATGCCAAATATGAAGACTGTGGGTCAAAGGAATCTTAAGTTATTGGGCGGACAAGAAAAAACCGACGGACGGCCGGACAGCCGGACGGACAAGCTGATTCCAGTATACCCCCCTTACAACTTTGTTGTGCGGGGGTATAACAATGAATGTAAGTACATGTAGTATTAAGTTTTTTAAACTAAGATTCAGTTCAAATATAATTAAACACAATGGTCGAAATCAATTATCGTGGAAAATTACGCCTGCGGGACCATGGATTACAAATCCAATGCTCTCCGAATTGACCCAAGCAAGCAGACGATATATGAGATCAAAAAGAACATAAAATAAACATTAAAATACATGTTTATATGTGATCAAATAGAATACCTATTTTGATTTCATCAGATAAACAGTGATATTGCACTTCAAATTCCTGGTGATTCCAGCCTATAATACAGTTTGAGCCTAGCTCCTTGTCTACGTTAAATGCCCTCATCTCATTCTCCAATGCTTCCCTCAATTCTTCTCTTGTCTGAAATAAATCATTTAAAGCACACTTATATACTGAAAGCTTTAAACTTCTCTTGTTTCTCTAAACTTTGTCTTAGTCTGAAATAAATGACTAACAACATACTTTGATTAACATTCAATGTTATGTTATTATTCTCTACTGCTTCCCTTACAAAAACCATTACTTTCTGTTAGTTATCGTGTTAGCTTCTTCACATGAAATAATTCAAAATCCCCGGACCGATTCGAACCCAGGGGAGCAACATTAACGATTTTGTCATGTAGGCCTAATTCACAACAGAAGTCTTTACATATTCTTACTAAAACATATGTCAAATATACTTCTACATTAAGCGACCAGTTTTGTTGTTTCTCATGCCTAGTCTCTCAATACAAGTTTGACTGTATTTTAGATTATAAACAAACCTTGTAGTTCCAGATGAGATTGGGTTTAGAATGGTCAATATTAAAGTGGTAGTAGAATAACGGCCAGTTTGCCTCACTCTTTATCCTCTGCCTTCTTTTCCTCAGTGTAATTGGCAATTGTTCTTTATGCTGTAATAAATAATGTA